AATTAGAATGAATTTAATTAAACTGAAAAATTTAATGAAAAGTTGAATTATATGGTTTATAAAAAATTGAAAACAGAGTTTTTTAAAATTAAAAGAGTAATAATTATATTATTAATTATTGATCACGGTATCCTCTGCACCAGACAGAAACCTAATCTCAAAGTTTTATTTGAATTTCTCCAAGGATATCTTACTCTACGCAATTCATATTTCTAATTTTGACATGATAAAAATATATAAAAAAAAAAGGTCTGGTTCAAGATATTACGTATTTAAAAAGCTCAATCTGAAAACTCAACCTGTGATTTCAATCAATGTAAACTAATGTTACCAATTCATTGCTAAAAAAACATCTCTGTATTTTTTCTTGCCCGTAGATTTAAAACCTCTGAGTGTAATAAAAGAAATTAATTCTATTTTTAATTATTAGCTATTTAAAACTAATTAACAGCTTAGCAATAAAATTTATCATAATTTTTTAAGACGTTATCACAAATTACACTTTGAATAAACCATGAAATATATAAATGTTCGATGATCAGGAAATCACATCGAGATACTTTAATGAATATACGATTATTTGCAATGATCACAAACATATTCGTCAGAATAATCTTCGCCAATTCCTTCTAGAGAATCATAAGACCATTTATTACAATTTTTACATTGAATCCATGACTCTGAAGACTCTGAGGAAAGTCCATTGCAATACAGACAATGGAAATCGTCATTTTTATATTTAAAATATTTTTTGTTTTCAAATTTTTTGGTTTTGATCTTATTTTTTTGTTTAATTGAGGTCGTTTTTTTTTTTTTGCTTCATGTTGATTTTTTTTTCTGTGAGTTCTCGGCGATCCTCAAGACTCGTAAGAATCGTGGTTTTTCCTCGACGACGTTTTCTGGAAGAAGAATTTCTAGATTTTGATGGTAATAGATTTAGTAAAAAAAAAAATTTTTTTATATGATTTTTTGGGGAGGGGGCCGTCGTGCCCCAGAAAATAAAAAAAAATTTTTTCGAATTTTTGCAAAATTTCGACTGATTCGATCGAAATAGATGGAAAATGAAGGAATTTGATGGTTGAAAGCCACAAAAAATAAAAGTCGGCTTAAGGGGGCCGTCGTGCCCCAGGCTCCCCTATAATATTAATATTATCAATTATTATTATTTATATAGTATTATACGGTACTGCCATCTCAATCGTATGCACGTAGTAGAAATTAGTTTTTTCATTGTAAATTAATTTTTGTCATCTCTTCTTAACACAATTTGTGTCTTTTTGGGATGACTTTTTTTAAAAATTAACAATTAAAGTTAATGTAGACTAACTGAAAGTGAAAAGAACAACTTGAAAAAATATTGAGATTGGACCAAGCGGGGAATCGAACCCAGATCTCCTCGAATACATGCTCCGCGAATTATCTTAATATAATACAATGATTAATTAATATTATAAAAATTATAATATTAATGGTAATGATCACCATCATGCCAAAATTTCAAATTTTACCATGATTTGATGATATTCTTTACCACAGAAATTTCTCAGCGTGTAGAGTCAATATTTAATTTTTGAACGCAAAATTATCGTGAATTATACATTTACATGGTCGACGGTGTAAAAATATTTAATTCACACCCCCTAAATTTAACACGGTTTTCAGTGTAATTTTTACACGAAAATTTTTACACCAACTCATTTCGACTACACCGGGATCAACAAATTTTTTACAGTGTACAATTGAGTAATAACCCATTAAAAAATAAATGACAATTAATTTTTAGATTAATAATTCTTATCAGTATTTTTTGAAATTGAAATTCTAGTGAATCTGAATTGTAGCTAAGTATAAAATGCTTGCCAATATTTCCGATAAGATGACAAATAATAATTACGGATCGATTTTTATCAGATATCTGTCAATTATCTTCTATTTCTTCGTTCATTTGGCGTAAAATTGTAAAGTACGATAGCGAAGTATTAAACACCTACGCGGAAATTTTTGTAAGTATAAAAATAAAGCAATTAATATAATATAATAATTAATAATAAAACATAATTTACTGAAGTAAATGTTTCCAGAGACACAGGTACAAATTTTCCAACAGTCAGAACACAGGGTCTCCTTGATCTCGCAATAATAATCAACAAAGCTTGTCTGTAAGACTTTCCATACTTGGACCAGCTCAAATTATACCAGTACGCTCGATAAGCAGCTTCAGCGACTTCTAGACTCTCGACGATGATCTCATGACATGACCAGGAGTATAAAAGGAGTTGGCTGATAGATCCACTTAGAAAAACTATACTCAGCATCGTTCGAAGAATTGAATTGTCGACTCCCTGAAAATCTGTTCGTAAGTAAATATAATAATGATTATAATTAATGATTTATTTAAATAGTTTAAATAATTAGCTTAAAACTTACTAATAAAATTTGAAATCCAGAGAAACAGATCTGCAATACACTGCCTAGTGTTTGGACCAACATTATTTGGCAGTATAATTTTTCTATTCTTTCAATGTACAGGATGAGTAGTTGATGTAGTTCGATACACTTCTGAAGGTTAGTATACGATTCTTCAACAATGAAATTTATTTGTTTAATTGATTCTATTTTTTCAATATTTTTAGTTTGACAAGCTGTTTCCAATCTTCGTTGCAGTATTTTGAACTGCCCAGTAACGTAAAGGTTTATTGTGAATAAAAATGTTGCAAATGTTGTTGCACAGACACAAACACTCAATGTTGCTGCTGACTGTTAATTTTTATCAATTTATTCAAACAAGTTTAAGATATTTTTCGAAAGACTATGATTCATTTACGAATTTATCTTAATAACTTACTTGTAAGGTAAAACATATTTCATAATAAGGCGTTTCTTTAAATGGAAAAAATGTAAACCATAAATTAAAAGGTAAACTTCTTTCAGAAGTATTTTTTCCATAGGATTCTATGGTAAATAAATAAATAAAAGTTATAGAATTATTTTAAAAATAAATCACTCTAAATAAATTTACCGATTATTGGAATACTCAAATATTCCCAAGCAATAAGTTGTAGTATAATAATATAAACGACTATTATCTTGATACTTTTATTGTTACAGCTATCTAAAATTCTACGCTCTGAATCGTTGTATGTGATACTCCAAAATGTGCGATATGTGTAGTCATTAAAAGCCAGCACTTCACTTCGGTTGATAACAAATTTTGTCAACTTGAATAGCTCGATGATTACAGTAATTGTACAAGGTGCTGTGTAAGAAATAGCCTACAAGATTGTAAATAACTAGGAAAAAATGTGATATTAGACCATTTTGGTAAAAACTTACGTGTAAGTCACCTAAACAATGATAACAGTCGAATCCTTCAACAATAAGTGCAATTATTGTTGTCGCAATAGTGTAACTCAGTATAATATTTGAAATAATTTTGTCTCGAGGATTTTCCGACGTCCACATACCGATTCCGGTCATACAAAAGCGCGTGATTTTAATCGAAGCGTGGTGACTTATAGTCGTCTTATCCATTACAAAAAGTGCAATGACCATATGACACGAAGGCTAAGAAAGACGAAAGTTACTTAGATCAAAGAAGTTTTTGCTTCAATTCTTTCAAACTATTAATTTAAATTTACCTAAACTTCCTTGCCTTCGCTCGATATCTTTCTCTGTCATTAAAGTAAGTAGTAGGCGAAAGAATTTTTAATATTCCAAGAAATTTAGTCTTTATAAAATTTAATAAAAGAGAATTTTTTATCACAGAAGTCTTTAAATTACTTGAAAAATTATAGGAAGCTTTCATAAGAGGGGAAACAACTAAACATTACCGTGAATAATTAATGTTGCGCAACATTTTGCGCAGATCCTCGTAGTAGTCTTTGCTCAGTGATAGCCATCAGTTCAATTTTATCGTTAAATAGATAGTAAACTTATTGGTTGAAAAGTTTATCCAAGTTTTGTATTTATCCAATTCATATTTATGTACATGGGTCATTCCATGTCAAATCAACCAATAGTTGGAATCGCACCTATTCGATTTGGACAAATTTTGGTCAGAAGTTTTCTTTTATCATATAACAAAGTTCTGTCGAAGGAAAAAAAATTTTTTTCAAAAGATATGCAAATTCAAAATTTCGCAATTTCTCCAGTTTTTCAATTTCATTTTTGTAATATCTCGAACGCTATTGTAGATATAGAAATGGCCTTTCGTTTGTTTGAAAGGGGACACTAGATACTATTGAAAAAAAAATATGTTGGAAAAAAATTTTGAAAAATGTCAAATTTTGGATTTATGGAAGTCGTCAAAAATGACGATCGACATTAAAATTTTGGCTCAATTTTTTTTGTATAATACCTTGTACTGATCTTAAAAGATCCTGAAATTTTTAGAACAGTGTTTTTTGTTTTTTCAAAAATATGAATTTTTTAATTTCAAAAACAAATTTTTTTTTGTTTTTTGCAACTTCTACATAAAGTAAAGTTATGCAGATACATAGTATTGTCATTTTGAGCATTAAAAAATTTAATGCACGACGTGGAAATATATTAAATAATAAATTAATTTCAACTTTTTTCTATTTTTTGGACATGATCTCGAATTCAGACTTAAAGTATGATATAATTTCTTATTTTTTTAACGAATGATATATTTTGTCCGTTTCTTCACTCCAATAACAGTTTTTAACGCCAAATAACTCAAACAGATATTAATTTTCAATAAAAATCAGAAATAATATAATGAAAATATCACCTTTTTTTTGTTCTTTCGAATACTTTTTTATTTACAAATTTGTGCACATTAATATTTCTCAATCTCGAATTTCAAATTATTTTCATGTTGATAGGACGATAAGCCCGGGAAAAAATGAATTTGCCTAATCATATATAATTATATATAATCACTTATATATAATTAGATCTTAAAATTGGCCAGATCTAATCATATATAATTAGATATAATTATTTCTATAAAAATAAAAAAAAATTCACCGTGAGCGGGGATCGAACCGGGGACCTGACGCTTTAAAGACTAACACGCTACTTTTTTTTTTTTTTCTTAAAGAAGTTTATTTGCATATGAAAAAATACATTTTTGTTTTATAATAAGCTGCAAACTAAAAACTTAAAAACTAGCTTTACTACATTATGCACTTTGGTTTTAACTTAGTTACTAGTCTCCTTGATTGGAGCAGCTAAAACTAATTCATATTTCTAGAAAAAATAATTCTATTTGTTTTTATTTTATTGTTTTTAGAATTTAATAGTTCTAAGTTATTGGCAATTAATAAGCCTCCTGAATGCTAATTTTTATTATAATAATTAATGAAAAACTTTTCTTATAAAAACCATTTTCTCTTAGACTAACACGCTACCTGTTTACCTACGAAACCTACTGGAAGAGTAAAGTTTGAAACACCTACAACTAATGCAAATCGAATACATAATCGATTTTTATAAGTTAAATTAATTAATACAGTTCCATTATTTCATCCAGAAAAAACTATAATTTAAAAGATTATTAATCATTGGAGTAGCAGACTCTGAGATGAAAATAGAGAATGTTTTATAGTAATCACAAAATGCATGTATAATTATATATGATTCATATATAATTATATATGATTTCCGTATAGTTACACTGATATTGATAGAAGGATTTGTTTATATTTAATGAGCTTTATTAACTGTTAATAAGTGATTTTTTAACATCATGGGATTTAATATATATTTATTACCAGTTAATAAATTATTTATTAAATACGATTTATTAAATATTAATAAATATTTGTTAACAGTTTACAAATATTTATTTAAAATCAAAAGCAAAAATAGCAATTTTCTTTTGACATTTTTTATAACCCGACAGCTGGAATATCAATTAGATCTGATCAGATATAATCATATATAGCCCTAAATAACTCAGGTCTAATCAGATCTAATTATATATAGATTTATATACAATCATATATAGCCCTAGGTAACTCAGGTCTAATCAGATCTAATTATATATAGATTATATATAATCGTATATAGACCTGGATAACTTAGATCTGATCATATACAGACTTATATAAAATATACATACAATATATTAGTCTATATATGATTATATATATTTTATATAAAAATTCAGGTATAATCATATATAATTATATATAATTCTATATATTCAATATATAATCATATATAAATATATATGATTAGGCGAATTCATTTTTTCCCGGGAGTGGTGTCAACAACTCGAAATAAAGTAAAAAAAAGGACAAATAACAAATTATATCATGCGTTAAAGATAACTAAGATTATGTCCAAAAATTGAAAAAAAAATTAAAATTAATTTATTATTTAATATTTCCACGTCGTGCATTTAATTTTTTAACACTCAGAATTACAATACTATGTAGGGGAGGGTGGGGTAAAATGGCCCCTTGGGGCATAACGGCCCCCCTTCAAAATTTGGTTGAAAAATAATTTTTTTTTTTTTTACCAAACTATCATAAATTTGATAAATTTATATATTTTTGAGCTAATATAGGGGAATCTGGGGCACAACGGCCCCCCTCAAAAATTAGGTAAAAATTTTTTTTTCACTTTCCGTCAAGTTATGACCTCTATAATGTTTTTATGATATTTTGGGCCAATATGTGATATGTGGGACATAATGGACCACTTGAAAAACAAATTGCAACGAAAAAAAAATTTTTAACTTCCCGCTGAGAAAATCAAAGATTTTCAAAATTCGGGAAGTTATTGGTTTCACCCCGTTTTGCGAAAATTGAGGGAAGCTTCCCTGACTATTCCCGCGATGGTGTCCTTGCGACTGTGTGTGTGTGTGTGTGTGTGTTGGTTTTTTTTTTTTTTTTCCCCTTTAGAGGGGGGGGGGGAATCCTTTTTACGGATTCTAGGCATAGATGTTGGCCCGGATATGTGGCGACTCGACGCAGCGTCATACTAAAACTTGACGCTGACGCCCCTACCCACTAAACCCTAAACCCCTTTCTCTTCTATCCTCTGATCCCCCATGGTACCGCCGTAAGGCATTTCTTCGCGGGGGGAGGAATTAGCTGCCGCTCTTCCTTCTGGTGGCTAAGATGTTTTCTTCCTTCTAGGTTCTGTCTTTTGTTCTTTTTCTCTCGATGGAACGCAGCTCTATAAGCACTTCTGTGGCAAAAGTGTTCGTTGCATTCCAGGCAGCTTCTGAAGACAGCATTGCTTCTACGATTGACTCTGGTTGAATTGTCTTCTTCAGGATCTTCTCCAGCTCCTCACGTTATTGATTGAAACGCGAGCACTCGAAAAAAACGTGCTCTGCATCTTCAGTGGCTCCAGGGCAGGACGGGCACTCCGGAGAGTCGTCATGCCTAAAGCGGTGAAGATAAGCCCGAAAGCAGCCATGTCCTGACAACATCTATGTTAGGTAGTAGTTGACCTCACCGTGATTCCGGTTCAGCCAAATGTCGATCTTTGGTATGAGACGATGCGTCCATCTACCCTTCTCTGCGGCATCCCACTGAGATTGCCATCGTGCGATGCTGTGCTGTCTTTGTTCCGTTCTGAGTTCTTCTGCACTCAGTGTTGTTGACCTCTTTCGTTGGTAAAGATTCCGTCTTTCTTCAGCTAGGACTCTGAGAGGTAGAGTTCCAGAAATGACGCACACTGCTTCCTCAGATATTGTGCGGAAGGCGCAAGCTACTCTTAGGGCACTGAGACGGTATACTGGCCCAGCCTTTCTCCATGCTTCTTGTAATTCTAGCGCATCAGCCCATATGGATATTCCGTACGTAAGCACTGATGTGACTAAAGTTGCCAACAATAGTCTCCTACTCTGCTTTGGCCCTCCGACGTTAGGCATCAATCGTGCTAGACTAGCCCTCACTACTGATGCTTTGGCACTGACATGCTCCACTTGCTGCTTGAAATTGAGTCGGGCATCAAGCATCACTCCTAAATATCGGATATAAGGTTGTGATGTGATTTCTTGTTCGCCGACTTTCAGCTTAATGGTCTCTACCACTTTTCTGCTGGTAATAAGCACTGCTTCAGTCTTGTGTTGCGCCAGTTGCAGGTTCACTGCGTCCATCCACCGGTTAACGCACTCAAAAGTGAGATCAAACATATGGTTTATCTCATCAAGGTGTTTGGCAACAATCACTACAGCTACGTCATCTGCATATGCTACGAAATTGACGTTTCTTGGCAGAGTTAGTCTTAATAAACCGTCATACATAATATTCCATAGGAACGGGCCTAGAACTGAACCTTGTGGTACACCGCCAGTAATATCATACTCCCTCGGACCGTTCGT